GGCGGGAGCGCCGCCGCGCTTCCCAAGCGGCGCACTATCCAGTGCGCCACCAGGCCGGCCCCTGGGTTTTGCTTTAAGAAGAGTCTCTGTAAGAAACAATTTGGCAAGCCTAGAAGTTGAGCAGCTCAGCACGTAACACAGAATGGCTGTCATGGCTGAGGTAACTTCCTAAGGTGGTGAGCACAAGATTGACAGGTAGCTATGGAGCGTAACTATGATGTGGTTAGTCAAGGGGCTCCAGGGGCCAAACCTTGATGACAGCACAGAGAAATAAGAAACCAGCTCCAAGGTGGAGCCATTTGGGCTACCAAGAATGGGAGTAAGCTGAAAAGGGGCTATAATGTGTCAATATAGTTTGAGTTTACAAACTCTAGGGCTTATAAAATGCCAGGCAGATCTGGGCATTAGTATCAAGGAGTGCACAATCTACTGGGGAGAAATAAGGATACAAAAATACCTACAGTGCACTGCTGTCAATGCCACATTAGTAGTACTCTCCCCCACACCCCAATGCTATGACAGTGCAGGGGAGGAGGGATTCTGGCTGGGAAGGCTTCACAGAGGAAGAAGCCTTTGAGACAGTTCTGGAGAATGTTATCACCTGCTTCCAACAGGTAAAAATGTGGGAGAAACTAATCCAGAAGACCAGAGACCTGGTGAGAAGAAAGGCTGGTGGGGGTGGGGTGGGGTGGGCAGGGGGCGTACAATCAAGGAAGACCAGGTTGTCTGGCTTGGCTACACTTGCTAGAATGTGAACAGAAGAGATGGGAAGAACTCTGGAAAGGTCTTACCTGCCAGGCCAACAAGATAGAACTAAAGCATCGGATAAGTAATGGAAGAGTCCATAAAGGTCTGAAGGTGTTCAACAAGGGAGATAAGATCAGATCTGTGCTTGAGAGATTACTCTGGCAACAACAGTAGGGAAGGAATAGAGCTAATAAGGCAAGCTACTAGCCAGGAGTGGCCTGGGGGCTACTGCGAGCCAGCTTCTGGAAGCTCTGCTAGACAAAGGTAAATGGTTACTGAGCAATCTCGAAACCTGACAGCAAGTCAAGACTGAGTCAAGCAAGTCCAACAGGTCTAGTATCCACAGGCTACTGCATCATGCTTCAGCCTTACTCTCGCTATACCGATTGACCTCTTGGAGAAAGACAATTACTAACTCCCATCCTGTTAATAAAGAATTATATTAGTATAATGTTTGTTAAGGGAAACTGAGTTAGAATATGAGTTTCTCTCTCTCCTGGGAAAAAACTACATTTCAGAAGCCAAAGGAACTCAAGGAGGTTGAAACTGTTGTAATTATAGGCAAACTGGAAGGAAACTGCCTGCCCTAGGAGTCCAGCCTGGTGCAGTACTGACATGTCATCATGTCTTAGACATAATGTCTTATGTCTTGGTACCGCACCAGGCTAAAGCCTTAATGAACTTGTCTGTAGTGTCCCTCCAGGCAGCCAGGAATAGGGCAGACTATGTGGGGGGGAAAAGTCCCTTGCCAGGCTGGGAAATTGGGAAGCAGTTTGCACTGCCCAGTACAGAAGCCAGCAAAGGAGTAGGATGCTCTTCCAAGAGCAAGTGATAGACCCAGACCAAGCCTCAGGCCTGTAGATGACTTACTGGCTTGTTCCTGATCACCCTTCATGTTGGCTGCAGCCACACCAGCCTGGACCTCCTCCTTTTCCAGAGGCTCCAGCAGGCCCAGCTCCTGAAAGAGGGAAGAGATGCAGTAGAAGAGAGTCCTCTCGGGGTCATGAACATGCTTTAGGAGCTGCCAGCATGAGCTCCCAGGTCCACCCAGCCAGCTACCCTCAATCCTACATCTCCTCTTTGGGAAGAATAGCCTGGCCCACCCATCCCTATTAACCCATCTTTAACCTTTCTTACCCAGCAAGCATCTAAAATAATAACATAGATAACACAAATATAAATAGTGTCAGGGAGAAAGTCAACAGCACTGAAAACAAGATTGCTAAGTTGAAGCCCTAATTCAGCAATGGGGGATATATCACTAGCTATTGGACTCCCCGCTGGGTCCCTCATGTTCAGTCTGAGGGACTCTCAGAGGACAGAAGCTGATTAGTCTAGTCCACTAGACTTTGGGTGATTTAACCATTTAAACATGTAGTCAGCACTTACTGAGTGCAAAGAACTGAATAAGAGGCCCTCTCCCATCCTACAGTCAAATAGAAGAGGTAGCAGGTAATAGACGGAGCCTGACCTGTGCTTTCTGCTCTCTGTCTGAGCTCAGTTGCTCCAGGTACCAGTCAGTAAAGTCTCTTCTCACCCCTTGCAGGCCTAGGGCAGGGTCTTGAAGGGCCTCAAGCAAGGCCTCAGGGCTCTGTCTCTCCAGGGCATCATCAACAACTTCTAGAGCCCCGTGTACTGAAAAACACCGGCTCTATAATGAGCAGTGTGAGAAAGCCCACCTCTTACCATCCCCAGCCCAGCCCCAGGAATCTGCCCTCTTCCTGCCTTCCCACAGTTACCTCCACCCTTGTCCCTGGGTTCGGAGCCCACTTGGTCCAGCCCAAATTCTTCAGCTTGGTCTTCACAGCCTTCCCATCTCACCACCCCAGACCCTGAGGATATCCTGACCCAAACAGGTAACCGTCCATCCATCTTGAGCTTATAAGCAGCCCCTCCTGCCCTGATCTCTCCCTACCCCCATCTATTCCCCATGCTTCCTTCTCAAAGGACCCCAGCTCAACTGCGCCCCAGCATCAAGAGCTGCAAGGCCTGCCCCTTTGCCTCTATCCTCTCCATGGTTGTCCATTCAGACAGAAGCCTCTCTAACAGTGACTGTCTCTCCTCCTGACACTGCTAGCCAGAATGCAGAGCACACACTCCTCAGACTCTGATCTTTCCCCAAGGCAAGAGTTGGTCCAAATGAGGCTATAGGGCTTTCTGGCCTGAGAGAAGCCATCTCCAAACCTCCCAGTACAGGGGCTAACCCTAAGAGCACCCGCAACCCCCTCCTGGCTTGTCTCTCTTACCATTGACGTGGTTGATGTTGCCCTGGATTTCAGCCTGAGTTAGGTAATGGTCATAGATGTCCTGGCTTTCTCTGTCATCCTGCAAAAACTACATTGAGAGGGAACCATGGAAAACCAATTCAATCTTCTCCTACTTCTCTCTCCCTGTTTATACTTATTTCTTCTTCTGGGAACGTTCCCAAGGCCAAAGGTCAGTCTGCTTAGAAAGACTCTGGGGAAACTGTGGGGTCTAATCCCCTGGCACTGACACCGTTAAGCCAAACCAACCTTTGGAATTTCCAGTCCAATCTCATCCTGTTCTACATTCCAGAGCCCCTCTCCAGCCTCCCTGAAGATTCATCCCCCCAGAACCTCTTCTCTAGTCCTCTCTTCTGAATTCTCATCATTCTCTCGAGTTCTTCTGTTTCTCTAAAATCACTGATAAGTTAGTTTCTCTAAGAAACTTTGGAACCTAGAGACAGGACAGATAGGAGTCCTGGTTTCACTTGAGACTTTCCAGGCCACTCAGCTTTTTCAGCCCTTGCACCCCAAATTCCTCCTTACGTGGTTCCTCGCATTGGCAGCCTTCTGCATCTTGGCCTGAGCCAGCAGCTCCTGGTAGATGGCTGCCAGAGGCTCTCGAACATTCCCCAGAAGAGCATTGGGATTCTGCAAGGCAGCCAGTGTGTCTTCAAACACCCCTCGCTCCACTGCCTCATTGATGGCAAGAACAGCTGCATGTACTGGGAGGGGGCAGGGAACAAGATCAGGAGTCCAGAACAAGCTCCAGATCAGAGCACAGCCTGTTGCAAGTCACTCTGACATCATCCCTTTTTCCATCCTCAGGGGCCATGCAAACCAGGGAGCCTGATGGCCCTGCCTGCAGAAGAGGTGGCTGGAATCCATCCACGGAGTGTGAGGCTTGGAGTCCTCCTGTACTCACTGAGTGTACCCTTGGCAGGGTAGAGCCCAGTCCCTACCTGCAGCCTCATCCATAGAGAGCTCATTGGCCAGGATGCCCCCGATCTTGCTGAAGGCAGGCAGCTGGAGGCCATATTTGGCCAGTTCAGAAGCCATGTTGCTGAGTTCCTCAGCTGTAATGAAACCGCAGGGGCCCTTCATCAGGTCCCAACCCCCCAAGACCCTGCCCAGACTGTGGTAGTTGGGGAAGGAATGAGCTTACCTGTGAATTTCACTTTCCCATATAGATCATGTATCTGAGGGGCCAATCCCAGCCGGAAGAGGAAGAGACTGGGAAAGAATAGAAGGCATTGGAAGGCACTGGGCCTGTTCATTTCATCACTCTGCCCATAGAGGGTTTGTACGAGATACTGTGGGGACTCAGAGATGAAGACTATTCAGCACCTGCCCTCAAGTCACTCCTGATGCTCAAGGAGAAATATGCTATAGAAGGTGGATAAAATGGTGTGGGAGGTTCTTCCCAGAGAAGGGAACATTGCAGTAGCAAGTCACTGGATGGAGAGGAGGAATAGGAAGGATACAACAAACAGAGACCCTGATGAGCCAAGGCACAGAGGCATGAAAGGACATGGAAAGTGAACTTAGGAAGAGATGACATGGTAGACACAAGGAACTGGCCAGTCACTTTCTATGATTTAGCCAACTGGTTGCTGATGATGGCTGGCTGTGGGTAGGACAAAACAGCCTTCAACATTCAAAGTGGTGTGCATGTGATGCCTTGATGGGTCCTGTACTGATTCATTTATACCCCAGTCACAAGCTGAAGACCCTATCTTGCCTGCCCTTTCCCTGCACCTACACAGGGCACACATAAAGGTGCCCACAAACATGCACATAAATCTAAACGCAAATGGAAATCTAAAACCTCACTCTCTTGAGAAGTTCTCCCTGTGGTCTGCCCTCCATCCTTCCTGCTGCATTTGTTACTATTGATTGTTGGTTGCATCCACCTAGAAGAATCTGGATGGCAAAATTTGGGATCTCTCACCTGAGGGCATGAATGCAGTAGACCACCCGGGGCATGTTCTTTTTGTCATAGATGTCCGTGGTCTCTGGGAAGAAAGTCTAGAGGGGAAATCATCTGGTTACTGCCACTGGGGACCTTTAAATAGCACCAGATATGGAGAGAGAGGGCCAAGGAATGGGTCTTCCTCTCAGACCTGAAGTGTGTGCTCCCTTGTTGCCTGGGGCTTCTAGATCAGTCTCCCCAACCACTCCCATTAAGCCCAGCATAAAAGAAAGGCACCGGGAACACACACTAAGCCAAGACCCAGCCACAGATGCACAATGACAGGATGTCCTGGATTAACCAAACACCAGACGAGGCTGTGGAGGCTATAGGATGCAAGCTATATCCTCCAGGAAAAACAGGCCCCTGGCCACTTTATAGACCCAGCAAGCCTGCATGCATCCCCTTAGATGCCATAAAGGTGGTATGCTGGGGACTGGTCACACTCCCGAGGGAGGGACCACAGAGGCGACAGGGTACGTTGTCCCTGTCAGAGGCCTGATCAATGGGGGTCCCTCTAAGAACTTAGTCGTTCCAGACATGGCTTCCCATGCCACCTAGTGACTGTAATGAGGCCTAACTTGGTTACATTTAGGTGCATGATAAAGGACCAAATCTAGAGACTTAAAGTATTCCAGTCCCACTGAAGACACATGCCCTCTATTGCTTCTGCCTCCCATCAAAGCATCTTTCCTCACTGCTGTTTCCTTATGTTATAGTCCCCTTCTACAGTGATGAAAAACAAAGCAGAAAGAAATCATGCATTGCAGAATCCTATCATGCCTTAATTTATATGGTTCTTTACAATTCGCAGAGGGAATTCACACAGACCGTGGGATCCTCCTGACAACATTATAAGGTAGACAGGGCAGGATTACCATCCCCATTTTATAGATGAGAAACAAATTGAGACTCAGAGTAAAAGGACATGCATCATGGGTCCAGTGGGGTCTTCGGCCTAGGTTTCCAACTCAAGGCCTACCACTTAGGGATGCAGTGTGCTCTTGCTTCATGCTGTGCAATTCTGGTGGAAAGATGGCTGGCCAGAATAAGTCCTGTCTCCAGCATTACACAGGGGCCCCACTGCATGATGGGACCCATGTGACTCAGGCCAGGGAGTCTTTACTCCTTTTCCCACAGGGAAGTGGAGTCAGAGACCAAGTAACCTGGTTCAAAGACAAACAACCCCAAGGAACTCTTCTCTTAGATTTAGAAGACACATGAAAACGGGACTAAAGGGTCCAGGGAAATAAAGCATGTGTGTATGTGCTTAAATACACATACACACATGGGGGGCTGGTAAAGAGTAAAGATGAAACCCAATGTTACCGAAGGCAGACCGATGTGGGCTATTGCAGACAGCCAAAAGTTGATGTTATCTGTGTGACGGAAATGCAAGCCAGTTGCCTGAAAGAGAAGGAAAGAGAAGAAAATCTGTTTCCACAGTCTCAGCACTCCCTATGGGCAGAGTCCAGACCACAGCTTAAAGATTCAAGAGGGAGGGATGGAGGGAGCCACAGGACCCCACTCTGTGGATTTCCCATCCCCCCCAGCACAGAGAAACATAGACAGACAGAAACCACCAGGAATGGATGACCCAGCTGGACACTTGGGAAGGATGGCACAGGGATGGAATTAATAATCCAGTAAGGCTTCCTAGAAAAGGGGAATCCAGCTCTGGGATGGAAAGGAGAGGAGGGTTGGGCTGGCTAGAGCACAGAGAAGGGACAGCATGTCCAGGAAGTACCTTTAGGATGGCAAAGGCCACAAGCCTCTAGGTGTAGACTGTGGGTAGAAAAGTCTGCTTGGCAATTCTCATTTCAGGGCATCTTATTTTATTTTATTTTTGGGGTCACTAGCCGGTACAGGGATCTGAATCTGTGACCTTGATGTTATAAGGCTGTGCACTAACCAAATGAGATAACTGGCTAGTACTCATCTCAGGGGATCTTAAAGCCCACCTAGCAAGTGCCCCTTGCTGCTTAGGATAGTACACACCCACCTGGCTGGGAGACACCAATTAATACCTGCTGTCTTGGTGCAATAACTAATAGTACCACCTTTCATCCTCACAGTGTCCAAATTTGGACAATAAGTTATATGGCCACCCTACCCTCACAGCTTTGAGGAGAAGGGATAGTTTGAGAGGAAAAAGGTAGAAGGTAGAGTCCACTATTCCCTTACCTGATACCGTAGCTGCTCCACATCATAGATCTTCTTCAAGGGAACAATGGAGGGCGCAAAACAGTGGCCCAGCTTGGCCAGCAGCACTCCGTTCCGGAGGCTTTCCTCTAGCTCCACTGGGGAAGGAAGATCCTCCTTCAGGCAGGCCTCCATCCAGCTAAGAACATGAGAGCACCTTCTCACCCACTCTGGCAGTCCATAGTGGCTTATTCTAACCGCAATAAGTTAGAATTAACTTATCCTTCCCTCTCTCCCCCTAAGTGGCCCCTGACCCTCCCCTGCCTCCTATTCCTGCCCTATCCCCTCTCTACCCATTGTCTGGCTGCTCCCCCCCTCTCCTAAGCTGCCCCAAATACCTGGATTGGTCAACTCTAGTCCCACCCACCCCAGAAAATCTTCCCTAACAGATCCTGAACCTGTCCATCTTCAGTGAGGCTTAAGCAGACTCTTACCCTATTACATAACATAATTTCTCAGCCTGGTTACATATTTGGGTGTTGAACCAAACTGAATTTGCTCACTTCTCTCATTATGCATTGTTCTCTGAGAACCCAGGTACAGAAAGGTCATGTCTATCTGAATGATCTAAATGGCTCATAATCCAGCTTTGAAAATGATAAGGATAGTGGGCAATCCCTGGGTTGATGGGAGGGGAGCAACACAAAGGGACAGAAAGACCACAGCTCCTGGAATCAGAAGGCCCACTTTTCACACCATCTCCCCCATCTCTCCCACTTCTCTTCTCTGAGCCTCAGTTGCATGATCTGTAAAGAGGATAAAACCGAAAAAAAACTAAAAAAAAAAAAAAAAAATGAGGATAAAACCACCTGCACTTCCTGCTTCAGTGGGCAGCTGCCAGGATCAAATGAGCAAATGAATGTGAAAAAACTTTCAATATAAATGTAAAGTATTATTGCTGATGGTTGTGTGAGGGAGAGATTAAGGGCTCCTCGGATAGAATCTCTAAACTTCCCTACATATTGGGGTCTACAGGAAAGTATTTGTTTCCAAAGAGAGAGCCAGTCACGCCTTGCTTCATGCCTTCGCTGCCATAGACAGCTTATTTCCTGACTTCCTTATCCTACCAAAATTTTTTGAGACCATTAAAGATACACTATTGATTAAAAGGAAAGAATTAAAAACACCAAGGTCCAGGGTTCAATCCCTGTAACAGCCAGCTGCCAAAAAAAAAAAAAAGGAACCAAATAGCCCTAAGATGATGAGGAAAAGTTCTTTAGAATTTAAGCTCATAAATGTAGAAGAAATGACAAAATTTGAAAATAGTCATTTTGCACTCTTAATAAAAAAATAGATTCTAGTGAGGACCAACAATGGATGAAGGGATTAGATGAAAAGTTAATGGGGAATTTTACAATGTAGAGATCAAGTTTTTATCAACTGAACTCCCAGATTGAACTTAGCATCACTAAGAGTGGAACAAGCCGACACTGTATTCCTCCTATAATATGTAATATGAAACACACACCACCACCAATGAAAACTTCTTGTTTTTGTTGAACCTGAATCTAATCAAGCCCTTTGAGCCGACATCCATTTATAGGAAATATAGGGTATACAGGAACAAGGTGAATGATAGAAGAAAGCAATAAGACAAAGCCAGGGTGTTCCACAGGAAAAATGTTCGTTTCAAGTCAATGACATAAAGAACTGAAAAGGGAGGTGGACTGGTCTAGATTAAAAAAGACTTAAAGTGCTGGTTGGTTACTCAATTGGTTAGAGCACGGTGTTGCTAACACCAAGGTTAAGGGTTCGGATCCCGTACTGGCCAGCCACCCACAAAAACAAAACAAAACAACAACAACAAAAAAACACTTAAGAGACATACAAGCAAATATGTAAGCTTTTTTAGATCCTTATTTGAATATGCCAACTGTAAAAATAAATTTCTTTTTAGACAATCAGGAAAATTTTTAAATTGCCTGGATATTGATCTTCCAAGAGTTTACAGATAATTTAGTTGGGAAGTATAATGGCATTGTGGTTATATAAGCAAATGTCCATACATTTTAGAGACATATCGAAGTATGTAGGGGGATAAAAGGATGTATGTTTAGGATTTGCTTTTTTTTAAAAAAAAAAAGATACTATTTCAACTTGTCCTTTCCCACAGAATGAACCCTTGTCCTGTTGTATTTGCTTTGGGGGCAGATGCTTGGGGGGTCGGGGGGTGGGAAAGGGAGACCATCTTTATGGACTCTGCTCACCGCTTGGCTTCCTCCAGCCGGCACAGGTACTGGTAGGCAACGTTCTGCCTCCTCTGCTCATCCATCTCCTCAGCTGTGAGGCGTTCATCTGAGCAATGAAGCGAGATAGGATAAACGAAAGGAGCATCAGAGGGAGCCTTAGCATTTATGCTTCTTCTTACACTTCCTTAGGCAACCCTGCTCAGAAACCTGACACATCTCCATGTCCCTCCTGTTCTTCCCAGGACACCCTATAATGGGGGTGGGGGGGAGAGTCCTTCTGTACCAGAAGCATTTCTTCTCTTTCCTCTGAAACCATCTTACTGTCCTCCTCCTCCTTCCCAAGTCTACTCATAGCCCTTCCCTTTCTGCCTCCCAGCAGGTATGCCCAGAGCCCTCCTTGGCTGGGAACTTAGCTCCTTATACTCATATTGTCTAATTAGACTCTGAGTTCTCCAAGAACTGGACCTGTGTCATCCTTTTCGGGTACTCTCTCAGGGCTAGGATTAACAGAACCAACTAGAACTCATCGTTCAACAGCCATTTATTCATTTTTTCATTCATTCAATATCTCCTTTATGTAAGGTATTGGGCTAGTGGACCCTTACTCTTAAGAAATAGAGATTATTATTAGAAAAGAAAAACATGTTAGCAAATAACTCCGACTTAATGTGGTCAATGTGATTAAGCCCATGAATAAAATCTACGGAAACAGCAGAGGTAGCAAAGGATTTTACCTATGAACAGGGTCTTAAAGAACGAACAGGCAGAAAGGGTTAAAAGGCAGTCCAACAGAGGAAACCACACAACTCATTTGGGATTAAGTGGAAGAATAAAAGAGAATTTTAAAAGATAACAAGGGTAACTTTACTATCCTTTTTGGTACAGGTCACCTGAGGAGGAAAATAATCTTCAAGCTAAATAAAATGCAGACAATACTCTGACTCCCAAACTAAAGAGCAGGGACTCCCTTAAATGAGATAACACTCATACTGTGCCTTAACCACAGCCTCACTTTATCCTTCTCTCTCCTCTTCTCCCCCATCTCTCTCTTCTACTTAGAGAAGACAAAGCAAAATCAAACAGGTGGAAGAAAGCTACACATCCCCCCAAGAAAATAAACTCAGAGGGCTTGAAAAGAGATAGAGCTTAGTCAATCCATCTTTGGCTGAGCACTTAATGTCATTCCCAGTCTTTATCCTATTTCCTTATAGTGCACATCCTGCAACATTATTTGGGGGAGGGCAGGGCTATTTGAATTGGCACGTAAGCAAGTTAAAACACACACTCACACACATCTCCAAGTACAGATTTGAAAGCATGGCCAACCGCAGGAAATCCATCGGTTCCTCTGAGGGGGTGTATGAGGAACAAGTGTTGGTTGTTAAGCATGGAAAATAAACCAGTAAGTGAGTGACATCACCTCAGAGTTATGAATCAAAGACTGTGAGAGATGGGCGGGACTTTGTAAGTACACACACACACACACACACACACACACACACACAGTATCTTAAAAAAAAAAACGTCTTCCTGCCCTTCTGAGGTCTGGAATTAGCTTTCCATCCACTGATGGGTGGACATAGACTTTGCTTTTTGAATCCTAGTGGAGAAGAAGGAGGGGGTGGAAGAAGGAGCAGGTTTTGCCTTTCATTCAGAAGATCAGATAGAACCTTTTTACTGTCCCATCCTTCCGACCCCAGTCTCCCTCTTTCTAAAGCAGTGTTTTTGAAAATGTGGTTCATGTACTACGTGCATCACAATCACCTGGGGTGAGAAAAGAAGCATAGCAGATTATGGGCCCCAATCCATACTACGGGAGCTAAAGCTCTGGGATGGGGCTCAGTAATCTGCATTTTAAACAAGCTTCTCCGGTAATTTCGGCACCCTAAAGTTTGAGAGGCGTCACAAAGCGGCATCTCAAAGCCCAAGAGTCCCCCCGGTCACCTTAGGCGTGGCAGCGTTTGGCAAGTATGGTAGCCATTAGAGTTACTGCTGAATTTTAAGGGGCCAGACAGAACACCTACATTCTCCCAACCCCAGAGCCCCAGAATTTGGGAATAAGGGAGAAAACTCTTTGTAAGCTTTAAAGCGCGGCACAGAAGTCAGGAGGCGTTTTGCGGCTCATAGTACTACTCCCTCCCGCTGGCGCCCGGACTCAGTGCTCCCTTCCCACTGAGCAGTGCCACGGCCCCTTGCCCCTTACCCAGCCCCCGCCCCAACCTCTCCCGGGATGGCCAAGCCCCCGACTAGCAGCACCACTGCTGGACCCTTCTCAGACCCTTCCGGCACTCACAGGCCGCCCGGCCGGGGACCGCTCCTCTGCCCTCCATGTTTCTCCTTCCAGGTTTGAATCTCCCGCCGCTGGGCCACCGCCCCTCACCATTGCCACAGGACACTTCCGGTCCGCACCGCAGGGAACCCTGGGATTTGTAGTTCCACGCTGCAGAGGCGCACCACCCAGGTGGGGAGGAGAACAGTACCGCCAGAGGCCGGGATGGGGCGCTCTCCTTCCGGCAGCTCCTGGCTTGCTATAGCACCAGGACTCCTTCGCTGCTAAACCGTGTGGTAGCGCCACGACTTAAAACCAGAGAGTCCTACTCCAAGCTTGAGTTCTTAACCGCTATACAGTACACTACCTCCAAGGTCTTGGACATAAGACTGCAGAAAAGAGGGTATACTGGAGAGGGATCTCAAAGGTGGAATTAATAGGCTAAGACTGAGAGCCAGAGAAGGAGTCAAGGATTGCTCCTCGGTTTCTAGTTCAGAGACTGGTTTAGTGGTCTACTAATAACACTGCGAATGTAAGAAAGGTAGAGTTGGGTAAATATGAGTTTCACCTGGACAAGTTAAGTCTACAGGTATACATTTAGAAATTATTGGCATATCGGTGGTGTTAAAATCAGAGGTGTGGGGCCGGCCTGGTGACGCACTCGGTAGAGTGCGGAGCTTGGGAGCGCGGTGGTGCTCCCGCCGAGGGTTCGGATCCCATGTAGAGACCGGTCCGCTCACTGGTTGAGCGCTGTGCGGGCGGGACGCGGAGGGTTGTGATCCCGTTGCCGGTCGCGGTATGTACGGGCGCGACACTGAGGGTTGCGATCCCGTTACTGGTCACGAAAAAAGACGAAAAGGAAAAAAAAAAAAAAAAAATCAGAGGTGTGGATGAAGGATTTTTGGAAGAGTATGTAAAGTAAGTAGAGAAAATAGCAAAGGACAGAGTATTGGGGACACTAGCATTTAAGAGGTGGAAAGAGGGCCCAGCAAAGGAAATGGAAAAGGAATTGTCAGAGAAGAGAGTCAGGACACAGTAGATCACAGAAGCCAAGTGAGGAGAGGGTTGCAAGATGTGGTGGATACTGCAGGGAATCAAACAAGAAAAGAATTCAGAAATGGGCCGAGCCCGTGGCGCACTCGGGAGAGTGCGGCACTGGGCGCGCGGCGACGCTCCCGCGGCAGGTTCGGATCCTATATAGGGATGACCGGTGCGCTCACTGGCTGAGCGCGATGCGGTCGGTCTCGAAAAGGACAAAAAAAAAAAAAAAAAAAGAGAGAATTCAGAAATGATCACTGGATCATTGGGTGGTCATTGGAACCTTGGTGAGAGCAGTTTCAGTCCTTGACTCCTCCCCAAATCATCCTGTCTCCTTAAGGGAAGACTGCTGAGTGAAGGGCAAACTGACCAGGGAGTGGTAGCATCCTGAAGGCTCAGCCTGCAGGCAGAAACTACAGGCAGCTGGGAGAACCTGCCTTAGGCATGGGCACTATTGCAGCTCAGGCCACACCATCCCAAAATGTGACTGTAGGAGACCAGAATATGCCACCCCAAAATATACTTCCTTGGCATATTTTGAGTTGGTTATTCTGAAACTGCAGGCAAAGGAGTATCTCTGAAAAGCTGACCTTTTGTAAAAGAAATTTACATCTATAAAGGAAATCTACATTACTAAATTATCTGTATAACTAGACAAACTTTATTCACCATACATTTCTTCCCTTCACCCTCCCATAACTTGTGTCACCACCAACCCCCAGATGCCCCAAGCCCCTATTCCTTTCTGTAGCTCAGATTTCTATATATGCTTCATTCATCTTACCCTTCCTCAAGTCTCAGGTTTTGTAGGACTCCCATGCGTATGCACACAATTAAAATGGTTTTTCTCCTGTTATTCTATCTTATGTCAATTAATTTGTGGCCCAGCCAAAGAACTTAAAAGGGTAGAGGAAAGTCATTTTTTTGCTCCTCTCCAGCTTCATCTGCATCTATGACTATGCCTGCACACAGCAGGCACTCAGCAAAGGCTGCAGGGCAAATGCAGGTGAGCCTGACTACTTCCTTGTAATTTTGTTTCTGGCAAAGGCTTCTGTACTTAGGTACATGAGAACATTTGCTTTCTGATGCAGGCCACCCTTAGTGAGTTGGGGCATTAGGTCGCTGTTGTCCTGAGGCCTGCTGTCCTCTCATTAAGCAGAACCTGGAGATTGCAGATCAATGGAGCTGGGGAAAGCAGTTTGGGGACAAAGAGGCTCTTCTGATCTCCAGACCTTTTCTGACCATCAACATTTCACTCTGTTCTCAAAATGTGAAGCTACTACACAGAAGCATAGTATGTAAGAGAGAGTGTGTTTGTAAGTGTATGTGTGAAAGGGCTAACTACTTTAAATCAGAAAACCTAGGGTCTAACCCCAGCTACATGACTGCTCTGTGTCCTTAGGCAAGTCTCCCCTGCTCTCTGAGCCTTGGTCCCCTCCTCTGTGAAATGAGGGGATGAGATAGATGATCTCTCAGGGTATAACTAGTAACCAGCCCCACGATGCTTTAATTCATTCCTTGAAGTGAGGTACTTGAGGGGTGTGTCTGCAGAGGTGGGGGACAGAGGAGCTGGCAGGGCAATGGAACTCAGGTGTCTGTGTCCAAGCACCATCAGGGTTCAGCACTAAGATAGGGCAACTGAGCTGTCACTCAAAGAATTCCCTACCAGTGGATGGTGGTTGCCTAGTTGTCTAGTAACCCCCAGGGCTTTGAGCTAAGAGCTAGGGGAGGTAACCCAAGCCAGAGGGGCCATTCCAGAAAGGCAGATGCGGAGACGACCAAAGAGGTAAGGCATCCTGCGTCCTATGGCAGGGGGGCCCCAAGTCTGGGTGGGGGTAGTCAGGAATGCCTGGGGTTGAGGCCCTTAAAAAGGCAGGATTTCTGGGTGGCAGGAGGAATTTCTTTGGATCCCTGCACAGACCAGCCACCCAAACAAAAGCAAACAAACAAACAAACAAACAAAAATGTATCACCTCTGCCTTCCCCTCCTAAAAAAGAAAAAAAAAAAAAAAAAAAAAAAAAAAAAAGAAGAAAATGGGAGGGGCTGAGAGCCCAATGCCTGGGTCTTCTGTCTCCTGGAAGGAGAGTTCATAAAAAGACTTGCCTTTCAAGGGGAAAGATACCAACAGGATGCACATGCTGATGAGATGAATATATTTGGGTTTAAGAGGGCTCTGGAGACAGAGCAGGATGTTGGGGGATCAGAACCAGAGAGCAGACAAGACAGCCAAGGAGATGAGGAGAGAGAAGTTCCCCTTGAGATGGGGAGGGAGCAGTAAGTAGAGACAGAATCCCTCACTCCTGTAAGTTGGCTCCTTGCCAACTCAATTGCCTGTTCAGTTTTGGGTCCTCAGTGCCTAGTATGGCTCCTGGCACACAGCAGGAGCTCACTGAGTATTTGTTGAACTGACCTGAACTACATCTTGAGATGTGACAGCAGGATTACCTAGATTAAGAGTGGGGGGTGTATGTGGAGGCACAGCGTGAAGGAAGAGAGGATGTATATGCTATTTCTTCATCCATTCATTTGTTCATTCCATAAACATTTTTTATTGTGGTAAAATACATAACACAAAATTTGCCATTTTATCCATTTTTTTTTCCTTTTTTGTCTTTTTTTGTGTCCGGCAACGGACCGCAACCGCCAGGAGCCATACTAGGCACTGAGGAGCCAAAACTGAACAGGCAATTGAGTTGGCAAGGAGCCAACTTACAGGAGTGAGGGATTCTGTCTCTACTTACTGCTCGCCAGGAGCCATACTAGGCACTGAGGAGCCAAAACTGAACAGGCAATTGAGTTGGCAAGGAGCCAACTTACAGGAGTGAGGGATTCTGTCTCTACTTACTGCTCGCCAGGAGCCATACTAGGCACTGAGGAGCCAAAACTGAACAGGCAATTGAGTTGGCAAGGAGCCAACTTACAGGAGTGAGGGATTCTGTCTCTACTTACTGCTCGCCAGGAGCCATACTAGGCACTGAGGAGCCAAAACTGAACAGGCAATTGAGTTGGCAAGGAGCCAACTTACAGGAGTGAGGGATTCTGTCTCTACTTACTGCTCCCGGCAACGGGATTGCAACCCTCGGTGCTGCGCCCGCCCCTCACTCAGCCAGTGAGCGGGAACTGGTCTGTATGTGGGATCCGAACCCTCAGCGGGAGCGCCACACTGTAGCAGTGCGCCACCAGGCCAGCCCCATTTTATCCATTTTGAAGTGTACAGTTCAGTGGCATTGAGCACACTCATACTGTTGTGCAACAATGACCACCACCCATCTACAGAACTCTTTTCATCTCATTCAATAAACATCTATTGGGAATCTACTATGTGCCAGACCCTTCAAATTGCTCCAAATCTAGTGGGGGAGGCAGACAAGAAAGTCAGCAAGTCTAATCTAGTGTGATACATGCCATAAAGACACAGGCATAAGGTGCTATGGGACTACAGAAGCACCCAGTTGATGGAGAGGGCTTTCTGAAGGAGGCTGTTACTTGACCTGAGGTTTGAAGGAGGACTAATAATTAGGACATTAGGATAAGAGTCGATACAGTGACAATGGGATAGATGAAAAAGTGAGATGTCAGAGAGAAATCCTTGAAATCCTGAGGGTCACACCAGAGCAGGGATAGAGCAGAATTGCCCTAAAAGGATTGTGTTCTAGTGGAAGCCAAGGCTGACCTACTGACCCCTCTGTTCCCCATAGTCAGCCCCATGTCTTCCACCAACCCTGAGGATATCCTCCAGGAGCCTGACCATGAGCCCTCAAGCTCCGAGAAGAAAAAGAAGAAAAGAAAGTGGCTACAGCAAGAGGCCAGCATTCGAGCCCTCACCATGGCTGGCCATGGGGCCCTACAGGCTGGCCAGAACCACAAGGCCTTGACCAGCTTCCAGAGGGCCTTCCTCCTGGCCTCTGAGGCCCCAAGAACCAGGGATACCCCTGTGTTCCGAGCCTGTGCCTTCAACCTGGGGGCTGCCTATGTGGAGACTGGGGACCCAGCCAAAGGCCTTGAGCTCCTCCTGCGAGCCC